AGTAATGTCGTTTTAAAATAGTTTTTTTTTTAAAGAATATGTGCAGTTTTATTCGCATGTTATTTGGAAGCACATCCACAAATCAGGGCAGAAGGATGTCTATAAACATAACATTAAAGAGGCCTACATGATGACCCCTTTAGAGTGAGACGCTGCTAACTCTTTTTCTTGGGATCTAAATCTGATGGAAAACAGCTGTGGCTGCTATTGAACATCTACACTGCCCTTGTCTATATGAACTATTCCTGCATCTTTACACAGAGGTTTGAAGGCTGCTATGTGATATTAATATGTTCAAGTGTCACCACACCTTTTAAGACATCGTCCTGAGGCAGTTTCCATCTTAGAGCGGCACTCACCTCAAATATCTCCCCTGGCTTTCATGCTGGTCTGTATTGACACGGGATTGGGAGCTTTCAACCAAAATAGAGGACCAGGTGTCAGTCTTCATGAATTGAGGCACTGCATGTTCAGTAGACAGTATTTCTCCTCCGTTACTGTTTTGAAAGACTGGACCCACTGTTCAATTTCAGGTTCAACATATAAAACAGAAAGAAATGGAATTATTAGGGAAAGGCCTGTTTGAACAAAGACAAGGCTTGGCCACATGTCGCTGTTTTAAGCAGTGTAACAATACATGGAAAGCTTCCTTTGTATAAAATACTTCCATTAGGATTGAGAAGGATGAGGACATAAATAGGCGGCACTAGGAGAGAGAAACAGAAAGACACTGGACACGACACACACGTAGCATTAAAGATGCAATGGATCTTGGCGACCTCAGTTGTGAGAGCAATGCTCAAACTAGAAGCCATGTTCGGGAATCAGATTGTGTCAAAGAGAAATACATAAAAGGTATGCCCTCAAGCCAAGATACCTTCTAGCTGCGTGATCTAGATGTAATTCCTTGCCTGTGTGGCAAGTCTTTCCCCAAACACTAGCTTTCCAAGTGTTTCTCAACACAATGGTCCTGGATGAATCTTCGATCCAGTCTTGAGATCTTTTCTTGGTTTTCTAGTAGAGCAATTAGAACGGGCATGCTTCTCGCAGAAGAAAACCAAAAAGGACATTACAGAGCACTCAAAAAGGCTCTGATATGAAGTCTTCTCTTCAGGGCCTCTGAAGACAAACAGGTACTTGGTAAGTTTCCTTCAGTAAAGTGAGGATTTTCAAACATGTAATCAACACACTGACACTCTGCTAACTGCTTCAAGTTCTCCTCACTTTCAGCAAGGAAAGTTTTCTGATCTGAACTCCCAAAGTGTTAACACCTCTTCCTCCCATCCTATTGCTACATACATTCTTTATAAACCCAGCCTCTCTGATGATTTGTTCGGCGTACAGATGGAATAAGGATGGTGACAGCATGCCACCCTGAGCACACCTCATCTGTTTTTAAACCATGCCGTATTCCTTTGTGCTGTTCACACAACTGCCTTTTGATCCACGTACAGGTTCTGCATGAGTGCAATGAGAAATTCTTGAATTCATGGGAGCGTTTTTTGAGGCAATCCCGATGTGTTATGATCCACA